AGCAGCGGCTGACGCCAGTTCCGACTTACATACAGATTCAACTTAAGAACAAACCTACAGTCCCTATCTTGTACGTAACCCAGGGATTGCCTGTATAGTTTCTCTCTGGCTCTACTTAGCAAGCCCCTATCTTGTACGTAACCCAGGGACTGCCTGTATAGTTTCTCTCTAGCTCTACTTAGCAAGTTGTACTTTACACTGATTTCAGAAAATTAATACACAACTATTTTTCAGTGGCATTTACAAGAAAGACAAGACAAAAAGCTATTTTTAATTTCAGTCCTAATCAGACTTGTGTATCGGTCAATGAATCTAGGATTTCAAGTGCTGGCTAGTCTGCAATTAACCTTTCAGAAAATAACTTACAACGAGACTTAAATTAATTAATACAGGCTAAAAACCAACAAAACAAAACATTAGCATAGATCAGAATGGGTTCCCTCGGCTGGAGGCTCACCAGCTTGTTATGAAACGCCACCATTGGTTCTCTGGGTATTTTTCTAGCAACTTCGAGTCAACTTTAGTTTCCTTGACAAAACTTGGTAGTGTATTTATACCCCAAGTTATCCATCCACAAGCAACCAGTTCTTGGGGTTCACGTTATCTTATTGCCTAGGATGTTTGTATTTTAAAAGAGGACCATACCAATTTAATAACTGTCTATTGTCAGTCTTGTATCATTACACCTTGGCATTTCACACCAATCTGGAGATAAAGAGATCACAGAGGAGGCACCTACTCCCCACATTCAAAATAGAGTCTGCAACTTGGCAGATAGAGTTCATAATCTCACACTGAATTCATAAATTCTATAGACAGATTTCCCAGCCATCACACACTGCAACAGCCATTTATTCTCATAAAAATAAACTAAGTTTCTGTTATACAAGCCACCTTAGTTTTCTTTCTTAGGCTGTTCACTTATTTGCTGAAAACTGCATCTGCAAACTTCCCACTTCACTTCTCAAGATGCAAAACATTCCTTTTATCACCCTCTGACAATTGCTTAGTTCAGTCTCCCTCTCAAGAGTTTGATTTGTTTCTCTGCAGAAATATGTTACCTGTTTCCCTTTCCTGAATATTAGGATAGCAAGTAGTATTTCACAACAAATGCCCATTCCAAACACCAAAGTCCTTAGAAGAAGGAAAAAAAACAGTTTCTGGTGTTCTCAACCTGGAAATTAAGTAAAGGTTTAACGGTTAATAGGCAAATTGAGAGGTGGTGGTGGTGGAGAGACAGTCTTACCTTGTTTCCTTCTTCCTTGATTTGAGGATTTATGAGTTTTACAAATGAATAAAATAATTGTCGAATTCTGGAATCTCCTATAAATGCAATATGTTTATCTATAAGGCAGTTTTTTGCTTCACTGTAAAAAACAGAAAGCATTACAATATTAGCATGTTGCATTATTTAAAGAACTAATTTACGGAAGAAACCTGACAATTCCTTACAGGAAATCTTGAATGTAACAGAGAAAATTCAAAGCACTGTATCTAACTCTAAAGAAGTATAATTTCTTTAATACTGGCTGCATGAAATATAAGATGAAATAGGAAGCCACCCTGACCATTTGATTACAATAATTTCTATAGGTGTGAAAGAATTCTCTTTACCATTGGGTGGTGCTTAAAATAAAAAAAAGACCGAGCAGTTATTAGAGATGTAAGCAACTAGTCTATCTAACAAGCAAAAGTTTGTCGGACAGTTGACTAGTCCCTCAACTAGTCGCTTCCCACACCCCTTGCTGCCTCTTAAAAGCTGGTTCCCCCGAGCACCATCTTCACGGGGGGAAGGGGAGGCAAGGAGGTAGCGGGGACCCAGAGTGAGCTAGGAATCAGCTGATTGCCAGCTTGCGCCCTCCCAGGTCCAGATGCTGTGCCTCTGCTTTTTAAATGTATTAAGAGCTGCCGGCTCTTAATACATTTAGAAATCAGAAGCGCAGTGGAGGGACCCAGCGTGAGCTGGATATCATGCTGGGTCCCTACTGCTGCACTTTAGCCTTTTAACAGGCTCTTAATACTTTTAAAAGGCAGAGCCACAGCAGGATTAGCTCCTGAGCCAGGAGCTAATCCCGCTGCGGCTTCCCCCGCTTATTGACTAGTTGATGGAAAATCCATTAACTAGTTCATTAAACTAAATTTAACATCCCTAGTAATTATATAGTTTAATTGTTAAATAACAGGATGATTGAGTGATAAAGATATTTGTCACTAGTTTTAGATTAAATGAATGAAGAAAAAAGTGATAGGTACTTTTATTTTTCAACATTACAATTTGAAACCATATATAAAACATGTAATGCCCATCAAACTATGTTGAAACCCTTCACAACAAAATATGCAGTATAAATTATTTACTAACATGATCCTATTAAGCTTAGCATTCTAGACACACAATGGAAGGAATATCTGCCATCTAAAGGGCTCTTTTCTGATCTCTGGTAAATTATGTATTTCACTGTAAACTATTAAAAAAAACAGCTACAAGGATGAAGACAGCCAAAAGAGATTGGACTATAGGGACTCAAGACTGCAGTACAATATACAGATTTTTTTACTAGTTTTCCCTTAGAGAACAGAATAAAAGAATGTGAGATGATATCCTTACCTATTTTTATATTTATGCATCATGCAACTGTGGGGTTGCCATACTGTTTCCCCAAGAAATCTCCCACTGGAGAGAAGATATTCACATGTATCATCACCTTAAAAAAAATTATACTAGAATTAGAATCCTACTACAAAATGTAGCATACAATATCTTAACCAACTACAGTAAACTTTGAATAATCCGGCACCTTTAGGACCAAGGGGTGCTGGATTATCAAATATGCCAGACTATTGGAAGGGGGGGCTATGAAGGGTCTGGGGTGGAGTGGGGGGGGATGCGACCCTCAGGGCTGCGGGACCAACCCAGCAGGACCCCAGCTGCTCTGCCCCAGACTTCCCCAAGAAAGCTGCTGCTGAAACTGACCAGCGGTTGACTCTGGGAAGCCCGGGGCAGAGCACCCCAGCTGCTCTGCCCCCAGCTTCCCAGAGTCAGCCACTGGTCAGTTTCAGCAGTGGCTGACTTAGAATCATAGAAACGGGGACAGAGCAGCTCCAATTGCAGCTCCAATTGTCTGGCTGCCCGGAGCACTACCGGGTTCCAGATGGTGCCGGACCATCAGGAGTGCCGGGACCATTGGATGCTGGACCACTGGAGTTTTACTGTACTGTATTTAAAAAAAACAATTGAAGTTTAGCTCAAGAGAAAATATTAGCACTAATTAGTGTCGAGTATATTTTAAGGAGGTCCTGCACAAACTTCTTTATATAAATTTGTCTTTTATGTACCTTACTTCTGACAGAAAACATTCCTCCATACATAGCCAAATGGTAATGATTGCCTAATTTCTACTAGAGGGCAGGTTGTGACCGGAACTAAATTCATACTTGGGCCTCCACATTTAATAGAACAGTGCATCACTCCACTGCATCACCTATCACCTTACAATTATACTAGCATAAGGTGAAGTGATTAACATATTAGTACTCTAATGTAATGGTCTTCTGTAATAAAGCATTTTATATAGAATCTAAGTTCAAAAGTATCTGCTTACTTAAAATATAATGAACTGCTTAAAGCAAGTGTAATTGTCTGTAGAAATAGGCTTGCATAGGAACTCTCTGCAGCCTGATTCTCCATTGCAGCTTTTAGACTGAAAGAGCTGACTGCAACCAAAGGGTCAGCTATACAGAAGTTGATATTTTTCTTCAAATCAAGTAAATGAACATCTTAGTTATGAAACCAATAAATAAGGCTTCTTCAAAATTATTATGGATACTTGGGCCAAAAAAACAAAAACAAAAAAAGAGAATTTTTTGTTGCCATTATCAAGATACTCTTTTCAAATGAATCAAAGTTATGAACTTTCTCACAAAAATGAAAAAAAAATTACATTCATGGGCACTAGACCTTCATCCAGAATGATTCCAGAATGCTTTGCTTTACAAAGTATTTAGAATCACTGGTTTATAGCTATCTTTGAGGTAAAATACACCCTCTGTTTAGCAGTTCACAGCAACATTACATGCTAGAAAAAAAATGTAGTTATCTGAACTGAATTTTTTTCTGGACATCAGAATTAGCCATCTTAGTCTTGAGAAGACTACTATGAGATTTTTGGTTATTACTAGCCTAAGCCTCTGTTGTTCAACTGACCCAAAAGAGGACACTTTCAACTGTACAGTGTTCCCAAACAATGACTCAAAAAGAAGGCTACCCAATAAAACACAACCACTTCATAAAAGAAACTGAGATTTCTTCAAAGGTGTCCCATTTATGTACTAACCCAGCCAAATCCTGCTTAGCTTGAAAATTATGACGAGCTCACAGACTCGTCAATAACTAACAGAATCCTCACACATGCACAACACACTTCATTGTAATACTTTTTAAAGCTTAGACTTCAATTCACAGCTGGCTTTAGACGGAATCACATAAATACCACATAATAGCTCAGTTCCAAAAATTTTGCTCTCTTCTATTATGAATACCACAATATTTCCTGCAAAATGTGAAATCTACAAATTACATTAATTTATCTTTAGGTGTAGTAGTAGCAGCAGTTCTGTTGTTTATTGGACCAATTTCATCTGTTGGTAGAAAGGACAAACTTTTAAGCTTTACAAAGCACTCTTTCAGATCTGGGGAAGATAACCAGACTGTAAGCCAAGTACAAATTGGGGAGAGACTGTTAATCATAAGGAGTTAACACATCTGTAAGAGATCACTTAACTCTTTAATTGTACATTTCATTTTAATAGGCAGCAGAGTATGTTACAAATTGTTGTTAAGGACCATAAAACCAGTGTCTCTATTGAAACCATGACTGATAGTGTCTACTTTTGAAGATGATGTGCAGATTTTTTGTCTTTTTATTTATTTGTTTGTTTTTGAGGCTGATGACAGAGTTCAGATATGGAGTGACAGCATTGTGAAAAGTGTTCACCCATGGGAGACATGGTATTTTTGTCTTTTTTTCAATTTTTGGTTGGAGTTCATTTGAGACTGTAGTGATTACCTGTCAAGTATCAAAGGGGTAGCCGTGTTAGTCTGAATCTGCAAAAGCGACGAGGAGTCCTGTGGCACCTTATAGACTAACTGAAGTGCATCTGACGAAGTGGGTCTTTGCCCACGAAAGCTTATGCTCCTACACTTCAGTTAGTCTATAAGGTGCCACAGGACTCCTCGTTGCTTTTAGTGATTACTTGGTTTCACTCACATAGCTATGCTGCTGTTAGAATATTAGGGTTCTGGATGTGGTACACCACAGGTGGTGATGGACTTATTGACCTTGAAAGGTGTGTTGTGCAGCATATTGGTACTCATAGAAGTGAAGATATGTCTGCAGGTTTTGCAACTGTTGATCTGGCCACTTAAGCTGACCTTCCGGGGAGTATAGACCTGGCATTTGGTTCATCAAGGTCAAGCTGATCTGGAGTAGTAAACTTAATCTTCAATAACTTCTTTAATTTTGTTTCTCCAGGAAGTAGTGGGCAGGAGATACCCAAACAGTGTTAAGATAAATTCTGAACAGGTAACAACCATTCAGAAGGCAGAATCCATAGTTTGAGCACCTGGTGTGGACAAGTAAATGTTTTAAGAACCAAGTGATTTTATAAACACATTGTTTCTGAGTGGCAGAGGGGACTGTTTTCTTTTTTAGATCTCTTGCTCAAATGACCACTACCCCTACTTCACAACCCCAAAATGAACAACAACTGTTAAGACAATTGAGTTAGCTCCTGGATTTCAGGACATGTCTACACTACTTTTAGGAAGTGTGACTGCAGCATGCTTAGGCATAAGCAAAGAAGCTCACTAATAATAGCAGAGTAGCCACAATGGCATGGAAAGCACATGGGCTAGTCTCTTGAGTATACACCAAGGTCCCAGGAAGTAGTAGATTTGAATGGCTAGACTACACTGCTATTTTTATTTAGCTAACTAGAACATTACTAGGTTTCCTATGGCTATACATGCTACGATAACGCCTTCTGACTGCAAATTAGGCCTATCCAAAGAATACTGAGAATAGTCATTTAATCAGTAGGCGATTCTGAGGCCAGACCTACACTACAAACTAACACTGATGTCACTGTATTGCCCAGGGGTATGAACAATCCACATCCAGGTCATGTAATTATACTGACATAATCCTGTCTGTAGATAGTGCTCTGTTGATAGGATAGTTTCTCTTGTTGACACTGCTGCCATTTCAGAGGTTCTCCTACTGGCATAGTAGAGAACCTCTACTATGTACTCTCTATGAACCTCTACTATAGCACTACAGCGGTGCAGTTGCAACTTTAAGTGTAGATCAGCCGTGAGCCTTAAACTGAGGCTCCACTATAATTATGTGCAACTGTAACAATCTCCCATACACATGCCACACATGTGTATGAACTTCAACTACTCATCATTCCCAATAGTACATATATACAAAAATAAAAATTAATACATAGGGATAATTTCAAATCATGGAATTATACCGTCAACATACACCACCACCAACTGGGTTTGAATGTTTTATCTCCTATAATCAGCAAGACAGTATGTTCCAAAGGATCACTAGCACTGCTACATGTAACAACAGAAGATCTTTTGGAAAGATGGGTCAGTTTGGGAGAGGGGAGGGAAAGAATATGAGGAGAGTGACAACTGAGGAAGGAAAAAGTGACCTATTGTGGCCAGACAGCCCGCCTCCATCACATCCATCTTATTTGCCTCCCTGAAGCATACAGGACAGAGAAGGAGCAATAAAATCAGCATAGTCTATGCTGGCTCATCTGATCCTGAGAAGCTGAAACATAGATATGAGGAGAGATCAGGATATGCGAGACTGCCACCGGCTGGCACCTATGTTGATTCGAACACACACACAGTCCCTGGAAGAGGAATTTCCCACTGAGAAAAGAATCCCCAGTAATTCCAATTTAGTTATCTCTCTTACAAGTGTAAATTAAGTTCACAACTCCCTTGTAAGAACTGGTCTCACAAAAGACAGACCAGCCCCATTTGGCATGACAGATAAGAAAGAGAAATACGTGACCCCATAAGTATAAAAGATGGGCCCAGCACACACTCACTTTGAGTGTCATTCTACCCTCTACCTGCTGGTCGGGTTAGGTGTTTGACCTCCCGAGGTTCTATGGGGACGCCCACCTCGTATTTTTGTCTTTCCTAGGAATTGAGGGACCGGCCCTGGCCTGACATGCTGGAGTCGAGAGGCACAGAAGGGGGTAAAAATTGTACCTGGATGTGGTCCTCTGTCTTAAGTGTACACATAGAAAGAGTAAGCTGTTACTTGGTACCATTATTTCTATTTTTCTATCTTTATCTTCTTTGTAACCGTTTTTAAGATCTATATTTTGCTAATAGTTAAGAAATAAAACAATAGCCATTGCAACCATATGATTTATAAGCTTCTTTAATAAACCTGTAACTGTTTAAGTTTTAACCTGACTCCTTCAGTTGCTGTAATAGAACCAAGCACAATTTAAAAGAACTTCAGACGGTCTTAAGAGACAGATATAGGGAGCCCTGACCGTCGGCTGACACCTATTAGTGAAGAAAAGGGTATGAACAGGGCAGAAAAGGAAAAAACATGCATCAAAATGAAAAAAAGAAAAAATAAGCTGATGCAGACTAACAGAAACTCTCTCTCCAAGAAAAGCCAGTTTAGGCATTAGGAAGTGCTAGGAACAAGAGGAATGAAGCACTTGACTAATTAAAAAAAAAAAAAAACCCTGGGTTTGTTTAAAGGCAAAATTCTCTACCCTATTCCTGACGATTACTGAGAGCAATTCCTTTTAAGCAGTGGTTCTCAACAAGCAGCCGGCTCAGTCCACGGATCACTAGCAGTCCACAGCTGCCTAAGAGGTGGTCCGCAGTTTGAGCTCAGTGCCCCTACCTCCCCCCACAGCAGGAAGCCTGTGCTGCTGCTTGAGCTTTGCAGTTGCCATGCAGCCATGAGGCTGGAGCACCAGCTCCGCCTTCCCACTTGGAGGACAGTGGGGGAAGGTGAAAAAAGCCCCAACCTTCCCTGCCAGACCCAGTTCGCAGAGAGAGGCACAAAGGGTTGCCAGATGGCTGAAAGAAAAATACCAAACACTACCCCCCCCCCCGCCAAAAAAACTCCTCTGGGAAAAAAATGTTGTTTAAAACAAACACTGGACACACTTGGGGGGAGGAGGGGGCAGGAACGGGGCTGGATATTGGGGGAGGGGAGACCAGTCAGAAGGGGGCAGGGGACATTGTAG